GCTGAAGTAAGTGGGCAGCCTACCATTGATCTCAACAGATGAACAACCTGACCTTTTACATGCAAGTTTTTACTCCCAAAGGAAAGCCAGGAATGGCTAGAAAAGCACAACCCAAAGTTATAAAGACCTAGTTTGGCCCATTTTTTCATTCGTGTCTTCTTTTTTCCTCTCGTCTTGTCCTGACACTTTTCTAGGTTTTTATCTTTGATTTGAAGAGAAAACCTTTTAGTATTTCTGGAGGAGACAGACATGCACAAATCACATCTAATTTTTACTAGAGTTGTCCTGAAGGATGGCCATCAAGAACAGTATAATAGATCATAATGCTTTTGTTTTAGCCATGCTTTTTTTACTTTTGCTCCTCCAAATTAATTGATACCTACCTACCAAAGAGCATTTGATATTCTGGTTTCTCTTTGTTGTTCACTGGAAAATTCCATAAACATGGCATTGTAATTGTACCAGGTCTTTGCCTATGTAAAATTGATACCTTCTAGTGGCACATCTTAATTGTAGCACTTCCTAAAATCTAAGTACTCCACACTCTTTTAAATGAAATTATTAAATTGTATGTATCTGTGGGATTGTGTATAGGGTACTGGTAAAGGGCAGACCACTGTATCATGTAGAATAAACCTAATTAATTAGCACATCAAATTTAAGTGTAGTTCAGCATTCTCTGGGTTACCAGATTATTTGTATCAAGTTTTGTCAATTTAGCAATGCTTATTTCTTCTTTGATCAAACCCAAGAGTCTAAAGACTTTTCAAAACAAGATTGAAAATAAAATTTGAGACACACTTTGCTGTTCTGATGGCATCGTGTTCAGACAGACAAACTATTCAACTCCCGAAATGGGGTTTTAAGCAAACTTTGTAGTTTTGTGCACTTTGATGCCCAAGTGTTTGTCTATATTTACCAAGAACCTGAAAATACTCTAAAGTGAATTTATTTCAAGACTGCTAACCTCTCAAGTGCCAGTATAATTAACTGATCATCAGACCTGTCTGAAGCATCACATTGCTTAGACCTACACAATCTGTAAACAACCAGCCTTTCAAACAATTTACTGTATTTTAAATAGCTAAGATTAATTTTAAAAGTTAAGGAAATTTGTGCTTTAAGCAGTAAATTTAAACACAGAGAAAAAAAAATCAAACATCCCATTAGAAAAATACTGAATTTAGGTGAAATGCCACAGATTGACTATTAATTGTCTTTACTTTCCCCCAAAGGACACCTTTTAGATTTGGATGCCATTGTTTCCGACCATGAAAAAATGCATAGCAAGTGCAGTTAGGGCAAATTTACAGAAATTTATGCAAGTAAGGAACTACTTACTCAATAATTAAAATTGTGGGAAGTGGGTGTTTTATTTATGATTTTCTGCAAGAAGACCCTGGGGATACATCAAATTAATGATTCAATAATTTTTAAGAGCTTAGAAGTATGGAGCCTAAAAAAAGATTCTTACTGAAACATCACAGTTTTAAACAGAATAATACTGTATTGTGGATTCTCTTTTCTGACAGAGTACTCTGCCAGTACTTTGCGAACTTCAGCATGTACTGGGAGCAACATTTGAAGAAAGTCATAATATTTTTAATTTCCCTGAACACTTTTCATGTACCCCTTATATGGCATTTGAATGTTTTGTCTATATTACTTCAGACAGATCCTAAAATACATTAAACTAGAATTAAAAAAAAGTTATTCATTCTATATATACTATATATATACACATACTATAGCCCAGGTGATTCCTCATAGATCTGCTGGGAATGTGTTCAGTGATTCCTGAACCTCCACTTCAGTCCATTTTAAATTTTTTTTCCTGCAAAAATCCTCCTTGTTCCAAGACACACAGAAGCTGCAGCACTCAGAAAACCTCTCTGCTCTGAGTAGTCTCTCTCTTTGGTGGTGTGCAGCACCAGCCTGGAAATGAAATCATACTAGCACCAAAAGGGAGCTTCCTTTGATGTCTCAAATCAATATTTTCAAGCACTTTGGGGGAAAAATTAACTACAGATAACATCCATAGATTTGGAAAAGTAAGAGAACAAAACAGCAAACAAGCAGGACTGCTCCCTTTCTCCCCACACAAGTTTTTTGCTGCTACCTCCCATAGAAAGCTACTTCTGTCACACTTTCAGTGAACTCTATTGAGAAGGGTACCAAGGAAATCTATTCTTTCAGCAAAATTAAAGACAAGACACAAGAAGTTAAATATTGTTCATTAAGGAATTGGTACTGACTGTAATTGTCAAGCTTAGGGTTGTGGTTTATAAATATAATTTCTCTTATATTTATGCTAGAAAGAATGCTGCACTACATCCATACTGGAAATACACTCCCAAGTTAGTGACCTTTTAAATCTCAGATTATGTCAGCACAGGATACAGGCACATATGTAGTACAAGATGCTGTGTGTCTAACTATCATGCTTTCCTTAATTCTATGTACAAAATGGGTAAAAGATTTCAGATTTTCCAGATTTTCTGGTCAGTGAAAAGTGAGATCAAACATGCTGAAATGTTGCCTATCACTATAATAAGAGTGTTTAATTCGGACAAACAGCCATTTGCATGGTTTGAAACTAAAATATTGAAGATATTTGCAGGAGGAGACAGAGAGATCAGCATTATTGATAGAAATAGTTGCCATGAGAGACAGGAGAAAGCAACTGAGGGCAGGTTCTGCAGCAGCAGGACAATGTACTGCTCCACAGTGCCCCATCCTGGAGCCCCAGTCCAGCCCAGAGCTGATGGGTGACCCCATCTGGGACAACAGTGTGGCCAGAGCAGATAAAAACCATTGCCCTGAGGCACACATGGTCACATCCCTCTTTTATTTTAATTTTATGGCAGCTGAGATTGTGCTAAGATCCAAGAGGCAGCAGCTATAACTCGCTTTTCTCTCTTTCTTTCTTTCTCTTCTTTTCTATTGATATTATTTTCTTCTTGAAGTATGGTAATCTAAAATTGGATGGGCAGAATCTGCAAAGTTGATGCTCAGTGAAATGGTTAAGGTTGGTTGAATGTTTTGCCTTAAGTCTTCCAAATTTCTGATCTTCTGAAGTTTGCCTGTGAAGTTTGGTTTTTAACCTCCTGAGGAAGCTGTTGCATTTCTCCTGTGTGCCCATCTCAAGGAAAAGTAGCACCTCAAGCCTCTATTAAATAAACTCAATGAGCAAGAACTGGGGCTCTGCAGTTGGCAATGGGCAGAGTGACGCCAAACAACTGATCCCAAACAGACATTTTGATTTTCCACAGTTTTGAGACATATTCTAAGTCCTTCTGCTCTCACATCTGGAGTGATGAAGTCATTGTGGCAACTCAGAGGAAACCAGAACAAGCCAGTACAGCAATAATCTCTTCCCCCATCCCCAAATACATGCTGTATATGCCTGCACACTGCAAGCAGCATATTGTAGCATGCATGTACTACAAGCCAGTGTGATGCATTTCCTGTAATCTCCAGTTCTCTCTGAAGGTTTACTTAGTTTGCATATGAGTATGGAAACTCATATGCAAACATAAAAATGTTTCAGATGCTCTGACTCCACTGTTTAAACATAACTCGGTAATAGTTGTGAAATGCAGGGTTATCCTCTGAATATAACTTCAACATGGTAGTTGAAACTGAAAATATTTATACACAGATGTTAACCAAGCAGAAAATACCTCATGCACTATTTCATTGCTTTGAAACCAGGCCTTTACACATTTGAAGGTGATCTATGCAATTAGCCCTCAAATATTTTAACACAGACAAGATAAAGATGATTTATCTTGTCTTTTAGCACAGACCAGATTGAAGAGAGAAGGGTTAATTATTGCTTTTCCTGACAAACCCAGGGTTAATTGCTCCACAAATCTGAAATATAAATATGACTATTCACAGCCATTTTTTAATTGGAGATTTAGACAGAGTTTCTGTAATACTGTATCTACACAAGTGAGAGCAAAATCCAGCTTCATCACTTACCTCAGGATAAAGCCAGCAAAATCTTCAAATTATTTTTGCATTATACAGCTGGAGCAATATATGAATTTTTATACCTTTCATTAGAATTTAGCAAACATAAAACTACTAACTGGATACTGAAGGAGGAATTCTGTTTTTTTTTTCTTAATCACAAGGATTCAGCAGGAGAAAAACTCCAAACCCTTCACATTTTCCTTCCTCTTGCTGCCTTCAAATGTGACCAAAGTTTCTGAACAAGACACATTCACAGATGGAAAACAGTAGAAGACAGAAGACTCTTCCAGTCCTTTGGGTGTGCAGAAAGCTCAAATTCAAATGCCAAGATTTCAACATTAGAGCATTAGAAACGGATGAAATCCCCGACGGGAAGGCTTGAGTCATTAGAAAAAGAGATGGAAATCTAAGCAGCAACTAAGACACCAGATTTATATTTTATCACTAGCATAGTTCCACGTTAAAACAGCCTGTGGGGTGGAATCATTTCTCATGGATCATGAATCAGCTGATTTTCAACATTGTGCCGTATATTTAACTTGGTACTAC